AAAGACTGTGAAAGCATGGAAATGCTCTGGAGAGAAGAAGAGTGCTCCCATTCTCTGGTAAGTGAACAGATCAATTCCTACATTCTCATCCTTCAGATTCTCAACGATCCTCTCAAACCCACCAGGCAGCGGGGTGGACGAGTTTTGCCCTGAAACAACGACTCCTTGTTTCTTGCAGGATGCTTTGATGTGGGCAAGTAATGACTCGGGGCTCGAGAGAGATTCAGGTGATTGATGTTCGTCAGATAGATCCATTCCCGGTATTATCACTCTACAAGAGTTCTTTGCAAAGATCTCTGCAATAGCCTCGTACCTGTCTTGACCATTAGAGCTGTAGAATCCAGCTGTTAACTCAGAAGGCTGAGATCTTAGCTTGTGCCATTGGTGTAAGAGAGGTAGCTTCCCACATAGAGGCACTCCAATCCCGCTAAATGCAGATGAAGTAACAGAGAGGACTCGGTCTGCGTGAGAGGTGAGAAGAGACGAATACCAAGACAAGAAGAAATCGCCGTACTGAGATTCCCAGGACCCGCCGTCTGAGAAGAATGAGGAGGAATTAGGCTGCTGATCGTAAGCAGGAGCATCGTGTGGACCACCGAGACCCCAAAGAGGGTTTCCAGTGGATTCAGCGTAGGCTTTGAGAGCGGTAAGCATGTGTTTGTCGTAACACTGAAATTCTCCCGCGCCAGAGCACTTGACATCTTGTTGATGAGAAGGATATCTTAGCTCACCGTCTGGTCCCAAACCTAATGTGATTCCCTGCAAAACAATGTGCAAAAAATCAGGAACTAAAAACCAGAGTAGATATTAAACTCAGAATGTAAGTGCAAAACAAAGATGATATGACATCATACCGTGATTGTGTTGCCCATGTAATCTGAAAATGCAGACTTGAAGCTATCGCAGAAACCTCTGTACACCTCCATAGGAGTCTTCCCATGAAGAACAGGAACATCATCAACTGCAAACGACAAACAATCTTTGTACTGTTGTCCATATCTATCTGTAAAATATATCCCAGGTTCAGCTTCACCGATCTTTGCCACCCAATCAGGAAGACCTATCTCCGGATGTTTCGATCCGTGGAAAGAGAGTGAAGCATGAAGCTTAAGTCCCACTTTCTTAACAATCTCAGCTACTGCCAAGTACCCTGACCATTCATATCTCCCAACAGCTTCTTTCTCAACAACTCCCCAGAAAATTGGTAACTCAATGCCTTGTACACCAAGTAGCTTCAAAGCTTTGAGCCCAGCTGTGATGGCTTTCAAGTGATTCACGTTATTGCAGTCTGAAACTGTGTCCAGTGGAAGCCCAACGAATAATTTGACACTCTCGAGCTGCAAACAAAGAATAAAAATGAAAACTTATTTCAGAATTCGATAATCAATAGGAAAAAAGATTAAGTCTTTCTTAAGTTTCTATGTTCAATAGACTCTAATCTGAATTAGTATCACCTAAACACTCACGGGAAAGAAAAAAGAGATTTTTTTTTCTTCGATTTCTGCAGATTTTCCAGAAAATGATTGAATTTTGATTTCGTATAAAGTTTAAGAACAATAGCAAATCGAAGGAGGAGAGAAGAGAGGGTTATTTACCGATTTAGATTTTGAAGTGGAATTGAGAAACGGAGGAGCGTCATCGGAGACGATGGCTTCACATTTGACAGATCTGTGAGAGCAACGAATCGCGATCTCCTTCCATTTAGAGCCTTGGTTGCAGAAAGTAACCCTATTTCTCGATTCACCGGAGATTACAACGGAGCCAAATCTAAATCCGAGCTCTCTGTAAGCTAATTCTGCTCTGAAGATCCTCGCTTGAGGATTTCCAATCACTGAAACTTCCATTTCACAAAAAGATCGATACAAAAATCGAAGAGGAGATTATGATTTTATCCAAATCAACCAAAAAAAAGACCCAAAATTATAGCAGAAGATAAAAATGGATTACGTTAAATCGCAAAAAAAAAGCGTTTTGAAATTTGAGTAAAAAGAACCAAAGAAGCTTTTAGCTTTAGGATTATGGATATCGTGAGGATTATGGATTTGGTTTATATAAGAAAAAAAAAAAGGGAAACGTTAATCTTCTTGCTTATGTGGGGTCTACGAGATGAAAGGTAGTGGATAAACGTTGCCTATTTGGACTTTACACGTGTCGTCACCACAATGCTTCCATACTTGTAGCCGCTTAAATTTTCACTTTTCATTTTTTTTTTTGCATTTAATGACAATACTAATCTTCAAGTGTGTGACCACGGAATGAAAGGAAATTAAATCTTCGTTTTTTCTTCAACGGAGAGGATACATAATAGTATCGTTTTCAAAAACTTCATAAGTATTTCTAGTGGTATAGTGTTCAATCGAGAAAAACGACAATACAAATTTATCATGGAACAATTAAAATGCTCGGTTTTAATATCGCGAAATTGGAAAAAGGAGGATTTCATTGGTTCAAACAAACGATTTGAAGTTTTTGTGGATATATGATATTTTGTAATAACATTTTTGATTTTTCTCTTAAAATTTATAAATTTATACAATTCATTAAGAAAATAGTCAACTATTTAAACACTTAAGGCAACCTCTAATTAGTAATTATGGGTGGTAAATTTTATTTTATTTTATTCAACTGATTATTCTCCTATCATCTATATTCATTTGCATTATTACCATCATAATTTTTGCCAATCTGTTAGGAATAATAGTTAGAATATCGAGACGATTGGAATCTTATCCAAGTTAACCGAATAAACCTATGATTGCAAGGTTCAACGAACAATATCTAGAAACGTTCTGATTGGTGAATGATATACTAAATATATTAAATAATTATTTAAATTATTTTTGTGAATGATTTGCTTGCCAATTATTGTGATGGGCTTGGCCAGTTGGCTAGAGCTAAGGAACAACCAATTATCTCCATGCATCAAATGGAAAAACACAATCATATTCATAGGTTGTTTGAAAATTGATGTTACGTTAAAAACGGAAACAGTAAGTGGATAACATTTGTATTGTACCGAGAAACCAACGTGGTAATGAGAAAAGCCACGTCATGTCAACTTGTCATTGACGAAGATGTGGATCTTTTAAACGAACGTACTGGTTCAGACAGGTGTACACGTGTCGTAACATGGGAGGTTAAGAAAATCCATGCTGAGTCAGGTCCATGCAATTATGTTCCTTTAGATTCTCTCTAGTACTGTGAAGCTGCAAGTCTGCAACTATTGATTTGTTTATCGACCACATCCTCTATCTATCTCTGCGTCTCTAATATCTATATGTGGTTACTGGTTTTTATCATTTCTAGTTTAAAAATATATAAACTGAGTGTACATGTTGTGGATTTTCTGCATTGATTTCTTAGAGAAATTTCAATGTATATGGGCTTGATATGAGATGCCAAATTAAAGGAGACGAAAGAAACTATACCGTCGGTAATTATTTTTGATAACCCAGTGTCCAGACCATACTGTGATCCGACTAGCACACTGGGCCTAAGTCCGCGTTCCTTGGATTTTTAAGCCTCCACTTAAGGGCCCCTCGGATCTGGTGGTCTGGGACGCTGCGCCCCGTAGGTAAATTGCGCAGTGACCGGTAATTACTTATCTATTTTCTTTATCACAATAAAAAATTATTTATCTAATTTACAAGTTGCGGTATAAATAGCTATTATTAGTTTATTACCCAAGATATTGAACTTTGATAACCAAAATAATTCCTTTAAAGTATACATGGTGTAGCGTTTTATTTCCCAAGACTTTTTAAACGAGATACTTAAAACAATTTAATATTATAAAATTAGTAAAATAAATAAAATTGTCGCATTATAGGAAAATATGCAATAAGAGGCGTCGTGGCACTATATGTGTCACTAAAACTTAAAACAGGAAATCGGCGTTTGGGAACCAACAAAAGGCCTTTAGGTCCGTGTTAGGTGGGTTTGAGTTTGAAACATTTGGAACCAAGTAACAATTTGTTCCACTTGCCACTTGACAGTTGCACTTGACGATGCGTATACGATTCACACATTTTCCAAATTCTTAATCTATTTAATTTGTGATATAGAATAAAGAACAACTTGGAAAAGGAAAAAAAAAAAGAAAAAAAGGTATTTGGTGAAATGGGCTTTTAAATATGTAAACACAAGCCCAAATATATTAAAATTGAATGTGTATTGTGTGCTCCACACGTCTGCCACATTCACGTTCTTTTTTCTTTTTTTTTTTCTTCCAGCCACATTCACGTTCAAATTTAGTTAAAAGACAGTTGTGACACTGTGCCTAAGGGTCATCATAGAATTAGTCAATTGGACATAGTGGTCCTAAGCAATCTCTTTATAAAGTTGTAGCAAGTCTTTTGTTTATGTGGAAATTTATGAGAAACCTGATTAGAAAAAAAAATGTTCTTAGAAAGGGTCCAAAGGGAAGAGACTTGAACCCATGATTCGAGAGAAATAATTGGTCATTTACAGTTTATCAATGCTATGTGATATGGTATGGTAGTCTTTTAAAACTTAAAAGTCCTACATAATAAATAGAGTCCAAAAATATGTTTTCTCAATAACCGAAAATACCAATTTGAAGTCTATAACAAACACACAAGACTTAACTCATCTTTTTAAAAACTTTTTTTTTTTTGATAACCCAGTGTCCAAACCACACTGTGATCCGACTAGCCCACTGGGCCTAAGCCCGCGTTCTTTGGATTTTTAAGCCTCCACTTAAGGGCCCCTCGGATCTAGTGGTCTGGGACGCTGCGCCCCGTAGGTAAATTGCGCAGTGGCCGGGACTCGAAGCCGGGTGGCGGGTGCCTCAACCGAGGTTCCTATACCACCAGGAGACAAGCACCCGGTTATCTTTTTAAAAACTTAACATCAAGTAATTTTGGTTAGGTGAAAACACATTAGTTAAATAACAACATGCATGTCAACGACTATTAATTATACATTGACGAGAGAATATGTCTAGAACATTTAACATTTTCGAACAACACACCAAATTAACAACAATTTAAAAATATTTATACATTCATAGTAAATAAAAACACGAAGTTGGCTGATTCAAGTCCAACAAAAAACCATTTTAAAACACAAAGTACCAATCAAAAACTCATTAAAGACGGATCCTTCTCAGCTAACTTCATTTCCTCTTTAATTCTCATCTCATCTCCCTTATAAACTCATCATCGGATCTTAAGGACACAAGAAGAATGGGTGGGATGAGTATGTCTTGTTGTGGTGGTGGTGGTGGTGGTGGCGATGATGGTTCAAGTCTATTAACACATCTCGTCTTAATTATTGTCATTTGTCTCTCTGTCATGGCCGTTTGCACCTCCAACGAACGCCGTACAGCCGTCCGTGTCGTCCGGTGCCGTTGACCGACCGGTATAAATCATCTATATATCAGATCACATCTCTACAAAAGATTTCTTCGGATTCTCTTTATATATGTATGTATGTGTTGGTTCTTAATTAGTGATGATGAATTACGGTATATGGTTTTTGTCTTTTTTTTGGCCAAATTGTATATGGATCAGAATAATTAAATCACATAATATACACCGAAATTTACCATTTAAGAAAGTATTGGGGTATAAAAAGAAATAACGTAAAATACTTGGGTTGTTGTGGAAATTATATTATCTGTGTTTGAGGATGAAGAAGAATGGCCTCACGCTCGGTCTCTCGAATAATTTTCCTTCACTTTCTCGCACTTTCCCACTAGTTTTCCCGATCGTCAAAACAACATTGTACAGAGATTTCAAAGAATGTCACTTTGTTCTTCCTTCAACGTTTTCGCTTCATACTCACCAAAACCCAAAACCATTTTCAAAGATTCCAAATTTATTTCACAATTTCAGGTAAAGTCGTCTCCTTTAGCTTCAACATTCAAAACCCATGAATCCTCAGAGACTCTTAAGTTTAAAAGAGCGAGACTCAAACCAATTTCTTCTCTAGACTCGGGAATTTCAGAAATCGCTACATCGTCTTCCTTCAGGAACAAAAGCCCTAAAGATATAAACGTTTTAGTGGTTGGTTCAACTGGTTACATTGGTAGATTCGTAGTGAAAGAGATGATCAAAAGAGGGTTCAATGTGATTGCTGTTGCGAGAGAGAAGAGTGGGATTAGAGGGAAGAACGACAAGGAAGAGACTTTGAAGCAATTACAAGGCGCCAATGTGTGTTTCTCTGATGTTACTGAGTTAGATGTTCTTGAGAAATCTATTGAGAATCTAGGGTTTGGTATTGATGTTGTTGTGTCCTGTCTCGCTAGTCGTAACGGAGGGATTAAAGATTCGTGGAAGATTGATTATGAAGCTACCAAGAATAGTCTTGTAGCTGGGAAGAAGTTTGGTGCTAAGCATTTTGTGTTGCTATCTGCGATTTGTGTTCAGAAGCCTTTATTGGAGTTTCAGAGAGCGAAACTGAAGTTTGAAGCCGAGTTGATGGATTTAGCGGAGGAGCAAGACTCGAGCTTTACTTACAGCATTGTGAGACCAACGGCTTTTTTCAAGAGCTTAGGTGGTCAAGTTGAGATTGTGAAAGATGGGAAACCTTATGTGATGTTTGGAGATGGTAAGCTATGCGCTTGTAAACCGATCAGCGAACAGGATTTAGCAGCGTTTATAGCGGATTGCGTGTTGGAAGAGAATAAGATCAATCAGGTTTTGCCAATTGGTGGACCAGGGAAGGCGTTAACGCCGCTGGAGCAAGGAGAGATTCTGTTTAGGATTCTTGGGAGAGAGCCTAAGTTCTTGAAAGTACCTATTGAGATTATGGATTTTGTGATTGGGGTCCTTGATTCTATTGCAAAGATTTTTCCTTCGGTTGGAGAGGCTGCTGAGTTTGGGAAGATCGGGAGGTATTACGCTGCAGAGAGTATGTTGATTCTTGATCCAGAGACTGGAGAGTATAGCGAGGAGAAGACACCGAGTTATGGGAAAGACACGCTTGAGGATTTCTTTGCGAAAGTGATCAGAGAAGGAATGGCGGGTCAAGAACTCGGTGAACAGTTCTTCTAGTGTGAAATTTTTATGCAAAATGAGTTTGGCTGTGTAGTTTGTAACTGATGAGATTATAAATATAAAACCTGTGAATTTGAGAGATTTGTTGATTCAAACAACAAAAAGAAACCACACATTGCAGAGATATATAATGGATCTTTTGCAGAGAGAAGCAGGAGATGATGTAGAAGAGTGTCAAAAATTGGAAAATGAGATTGAGACAGTGACAATTCTTGAAGCTTGTTCGTGATGTAAAATTACTAAATGACAATTCTCACCCGCTATTATCTGTTCCTATAATTCGACATAAACTCGCAAAACAATTGAGTTTTCAAAAAATCCCTGAAAACATATCATCCAGGTAACTTTTCCTGGATCAAGAATATATAGAGGAGTATATTATACATAATCCTCGCTTGCCAACACCCAAACACAAATTGTAAAATATAACAGTATAAGAACAACAACAAATCAAATGAAGAAGACAAATGTGTGTTTTGCTTTTGTGACCAATGATCAAATTGATCATCAATCTTTTTCTTTTTTTTTCTTTGTTATGATCATCAATCTTTTTGCCTCAGTTTTTTTGCAACAAAAAGCTTTTGTTAGCTTTCTGGAGGCAATACATGGGGAAGATCTTGGTTTTGTCATTGAGGAAGAACAGGAGGCGCAATCGCTCGTGTGTTGTAAGATCTGCAATGTCCACATTTCTGTCCTATTATGTGGAAGTACACTTCTGTTGTGTCGTTACAATCGTTGCATAGTATCCAAACCTGTGATTTTCACATAATCTTGTTAGAAAGTATACAACTTTGGTGTATATCTTTACTCTTCTTTTGTTAGATTCTCTAACGCTGCAACACTATCGAGCTTAAGGGACAGAGAAAGAAACTTCATTACCTTCTTGTCGCGGTAATCTGAAGGCATAGCAGTCGCTTCGATCTAAGGAAACCAATAAAACAATTTGGTATTCTTCAGCAACTAATTTGCAAGATCTATCATACTTAAAAGATTCAACAATGGATTTTAAACTAACCTCTTCATCCAGTCTCTGCCATGTTTTAGACATATCAATCACTGACCTCGAGCAAATCGGACAACAAAACCTACTCAAAATTCACACATTTTCAAACCATCACAATCAACCAAAAGAAGAAACCAACTTTCTGGTTGAAAGAGACATAACCACAGGGAAATGTTTAAATTACTTGTCACGTTTGATCATCTCGTTGTAGCATTCTAAGTGCATTGTGTGCCCGCATTTCATCACATTTGTGTCCTTTAGAGAGTCAAAAAGGTACTGCATTTCACGCGCACGCAGTTAGCTAAAACCGCGATACGTTTTGCTGAAAATTTTCACTTGTTCTTGATAAAGTTTTGCCTTAACACACATACCTCGTAACAAATGGGACAGTGATGACGCATTGAATTCTCAACGCAGCGATGGTTGTTGCGCAGACCAACCGCATAACAAGATCCTAAAAGCAAGTAATGGATAATTTCACGAGTCAACGACACATGATTGTGTTAGTCTGAAACTGAGCATAAGAAAACTTTGTTGTTTTTTTTGCGTTTACCACACTTCTTGCAATGGAAGAAATTCTCACGCCCACCAACTCTGCAACACACAGAAATGAAATGTCAACAAAACAATCATTACACAACTACAAACGAATCACCACTATAACATTGTATGAAGAAAGATTCTCACCTGCAAATTCCACACTCATCGCAATGGAACTGTTGTTTTTCAGTCTGAAACAAGACAAATAGGAGCAAATAATCATAATCAGATACAAAGAAGGAAAAGATTCAAACAGGTGTAAAACCAAAGTTGTTTACATCATCATCATAGAATTTGCAGATGTTGCAAAAATATTCTCCCATGTTGACACCACAATTCGAACAAACTTCAGCTACCTGAAAAAACACATTGACACAAACTCAATTTTATACCAAAACATCAATAAGCGAGTGATCAATGATCATCACAGCTCATAAGACAGTCCAAACTACAGTGATGGGAATTACCGGCTGCTCTGTATCGCAAACAGAACAAATCACCTGCCAAAAAAAGAAGCCAAGAGATGCAACAAATTAGTAAAAATGCAAACTTACTAAGATAACATAATTCTATTAAGAAGGATCATACTTGTTTAACGTCTTGACGAACAAGATCGTGACGGTCGTAGATATTGCGCAATGTGCTCTGAAACACAATACAGAGTAACAAAAAAAGAGTGTTTAGTTTTAATAAGGAATTAAGGGAAAAGTAATTAAGAAGATGAATTGAGAATATAAATACAGTGCTCTCGTTGTGACAATGGCGACAATCGAAGACTTCGTTGCAACATGGAGCTCTGATTTGGCATCTCCTCTTGTAATGCTTACACCTAATACACATAGAAGAGAAACGGATCTACATGGATCAGAATCAGTTCAATGGATTACAATTTTTTGTGGATCGAGACAGATCTATGATTTGGAGTAAAGAAACGAATCGGTTGTTTTAACAGATGAAAACCCATGAATCAGAAACGGAAAAAGGAGCAAACTTTGTGAATCAAATCTTAGAATACTTGGAATCTACGGATCAATAAGAACAAGAGACACATCGTCGTGGACCAAACGTGAAAACAAGAAACCAAGAGATCTGTCAAAGCAGAGGATAAAGATTTCAAGAAACAGAGTAAAAAACAGAGGATTTGTTTTTTTTTACCCGAAACCCATTTTGCCAAAATGAAGTCGATCATTGGGTGAAGCTTCCATGAGAACAGGAGGAGAAAAGCCAAAGAGACAGAGAAGGAGAGAGAGAGAGAGATGGAAAAAAGAAGGTAAACTCTCTCTAAAAATATATATATATGTTTGAGAAGTGGATTTGGATTGAATGAGAAGCTGAGAGTTTTATCGGAATCGCAAGGCCAGAAATGAAAACAGACCCCACGTCTTTGTTTTTATAGAAGAAGATAAACAACAAATTCTTCCATCTTCTTCAAATTGCAGAACTGAGAAAAGAAAGAAAAAGGTTGGATCTTTTTCTTTGCTTTATTTGTTTTCTCTCTCTCTCTCTTTGTGAATGTTGTTAGCTCCGGAGTTCGTGAGAGAGCTTTAAAGAAATGGGAATAATTAAAGAGAGAGAGATAAGAGAGTTGTGATGAAGATGGGATGATGACATGGATGCAAACCGTAACAGAGAGCGCCGATTTATTGACCAATCATAATTCTAGATCGTTATCTCTATTTATTTCCCAACACTTTCTTAACTACATTTACTTTTGTTGTAAGTTGTAAAATTAGTAAAACGATAATAAATGACCTTTTTCTTTACCAATTGGACTACTAAAGTTAGTAGTACTTTTTTTTACTTCTCCTACTTTATTTTAATCTTCTTCAAAATATTTTTCTTCCACTTTCTCCATTATTTTCTACTATATACATATGTGAAAGAAAAAAATATACTATATACATATAAATTTAATGTGTTAAAGACTAAATTACTGAATTTATAGCTAAATTTGGATTTTAGTTTATTACCAATATAAGTTTTATATGATTTGTTTTTGTTTTTTTTTTCTGTATTTTTTTTTTGTGCAATTTTTTTTTTTTCTGTATATGATTTGTTTATCAGTTCATTTTGTTTTGTTTTAGATTTTATTATTTCTTTTGTTAGGTATTGGTATATATGGATGACGTCTTTTTTTTTTCTTGATCAAAATGGATGATGTCAAATTTAATTAAAATGGTAAATGGTAGATTTTGGTAGTTAGCTGAAAATTTCAAAACATGCTAAATCGTAGTATCATGCAAATGTATTAAGAACTTTATAATAATGATACACACAAATCACAACCTAAAGTGTTCGTTGCTTGAGTCAGTTACATTGACCCCACCAAGCCCATGGACCACGTGATGGTACCACGAACCTATCCATTATAACATTTTATGATTATTAAAAATGGAAATAAAATTTATAAAAACACACTCACATGAATTTCTGAAAAAATGGAAAAAAGATTATGCTTTAATATCCATCCATAGGCTGCAAATAGTACATGGTTGAAAAAACATACGTTAAAAAAAAAACACAAAAAAAATGCAAGAAAGAAAACATAAATGGGGAAAAAACTCGAAAAAACCGTCATCTATTTTTTTTTTGGCCGTTTAATATATGTGTTTTTAAATTTGGAATAACAATACTTCATTTAATTTCGATTGCCTTTTAAAACTACCGTTTTTTTTAAATTGGTAATTTCGAACCCGACACTTAACAGTCGTTACTGAGCGTAACAAAATTATTTAACGGCGTTAGATTTTAACCGGAAAAAAACTCGAAACAACCACCATCTATTTTTTTTGGCCGTTTAATACATGTGTTTTTAAATTTGGAATAAAAATACCTCATTTAATTTCGATTGTCTTTTAAAACTATCGTTTTTAAAAACTTGGTAATTTCGAACCCAAAACATAACAGTCGTCATTTGACGTAACAGAATTATTTAACAGCGTTATATTTTAACCCCACGTGTTTATATAAATATATACTATCGGTTTGTAAAACTTTATGTGATAGTTAATGTGGTTTGGCGGTTGCATGTCAGTTTTGTAAACCTCAGGAGCTGGGTTCGCTCTTCAAGACTTCAACCTCATTTTTTTTATTAATTTCTTTTTGTGTTCTTCGTCTTCTTCGCCGGTGGTGACGACAACTTCTTCTTCTCAGATCTCCGATGATGCAAACTGGTCTCTCTCTCTTTCTCTTCTTCACTCGAATCTCTTTTTGATAATGAGTTTTTGCCGTGATTCATCCCATTTATGTATAGATCTGATCTGATTGATGTCGATTTAGTTGCTGTTCTTTTTCAATGGTAGATCTAATTGCAGAATTATTAGCTCAGCTCTAGATCGATTTGTTGAAATTGCTCTATGATTCATCTTTTGTTTGTATTTCGAGTCTTAACTTTGTACTGATGGGAAGTTATTCGAAGTGGAGAACAAAGGAAAAAAAAACAGGTTTGAGATTCAAACCCGGATCTAGTGGTTTAGAAAAAGACACACGCTACCACCAAGACACATTGATATTCTCGTAATGTGTTCTGAGCAGTTTGTATATATTTATATAAACACGTGGGGTTAAAATTTAACGCTGTTAAATAATTCTGTTACGTCCAGTGACGACTGTTAAGTTTCGGGTTCGAAATTATCAAGTTTTTTAAAATGATAGTTTTAAAAGACAATCGAAATTAAATGATCGAAATTAAATGAGGTATTTTTATTCCAAATTTAAAAACACAGGTATTAAACAGCAAAAAAAAATAGATGGCGGTTTTTTCGGATTTTTTCCCGGTTAAAATTTAACGCCGTTAAATAATTCTGTTACGCCCAGTAACGACTGTTAAGTGTCGGGTTCGAAATTACTAAGTTTTAAAAAACGATAGTTTTAAAAGGCAATCGAAATTAAATGAGGTATTTTTATTCCAAATTTAAAAACACAGATATTAAACGGCAAAAAATAAGATTGACGATTTTTTTGGGTTTTTTCTCTAGAAGAATAAATTTCCTTATCCACCTCTTTTTTAAGTGGCAATAATGCCTAAAGGTTTTTCTAAAATTTCGGAACTTTTTTTCTACAAGGACTATAAACAGTTTTCTGCCAATTCTTCATCAACATTTCCAGTCATATATCTTCGCAACCAACTTCACAATAATCTCCTCTGACTTTTAGCAAACTAGACATTGACAACACACAAAAGACAACACCAAAAACCCCAACTTTATGGTTTAAAAACATGGATCCATGAAAAAAGAGTCAATCACTTGTCACTCTTAATCGATCATCTGGCAGTAATTACTCGTCACTAGTAAATCATCTAGCAGTAGCTAGCATTCTACATGCATCTTGTGTCCACATTTCATCACTATTGTGTCTATGTTTGGTAGTTAATTGAGATATTAAAACATGCTAAATTTTATATTATGCAAATATATTGAGATGTTTATTAGTATGATAAACAGTAAACACAAACGTTACTAAAAGTTTTCGCTTAGGTCATTTACATTGACTCACCAAACTCATAGACCACGTAAAAACCAAAATATAACACTGTATGATTGTTAAAAAATGGAAATAGAAAGTAAAAATAAAACTAACATGCTTTTCAAAAAAAAATTGTAACGTGGGGATGTGGAGAATGTTAGTCAAAGGCTACAAAAATATTCGTTTCGTGTACATCTTATTCAGGGCATGCCACTTGATATTCGGATCCCCGTCTCTTTTAATACTTTCAAGGTCGTCTTGGAACATGCTTTTATATTATAAGCTTTTATATTATAAGTAACAAAAGAAGAACAACGATTTCGAGTAACGTTCGAGACAAAACTAATATTAAATGTTGTGGTTTCGGGCCTAGTGGCTTACGGGATTTGACACGGAACATCTTGATATTCAAAAAAAAAAAAAAAAAAAAAAACAAAAGAAGAACAAATAGCTCATATTTTACGACATGTAACCCGCCGTGGTACAATGGTTGAAAGATTCATTATGGTAGCAGGGTGTTTTTAAAACTATGGTTTGATACAAAAAGATAGGGTTTATTACGGAAATGGGCATTTTTTGGGCCTAAAATTTGAGATAAGACATTTACTGTCTGGGCTTGCAGATTTAGGTATTTGTGCAGACGGAAAAAGACCGTTATACCCCTGTCTTCTTTACCTTGCTGAAACCAATCTCACCGTCGTGTTCTCGCTTCCGACCACAATAACCTAGCTTCTCCGATTACGACCATCGGTTCTCACCGTTGTGCTCGCTCCGGCTCTGCCAAATATTTTGCCGCCGTCACTTTCACCTCCATTAACACCATCTCCTTCGGCGACTTACAAAACGTCTCTGGCCACCAACACCATCTCGTCTCCGCCACCAACACCATCTTGATTGATTGTTTTTAAATAAAGAAATCTAAACCCTAATAACAATTTAGTAAACCCAAGGGCTGTAATTATAAACATTAATTGAATCAAAACTTCCAATTGAATTGAATAAAAACTTTCAATTCATCTTCTAATTTAAATCAAATTGAAAATTACATGTTTGTGATTGAAAAATCTTGGAGAAAGCTTTTAACACTGTTCAAGTCACCATCATCAAGGCTGAGCTCACCATCGCCGCTGTTATAAGTCGAGATTCAAGATTTAGTCGTTCTTAATCTTACCATCACCTTCTTCTACTTGCTTCTCACCACGGTGCAAGCCGCCGTTGTCACCGGGTCTCATCATCACCACAACCATCTCATTTACAGCGTCGTCTTCTTCTTCTCTTCATCTTGACCGGATCTCATCATTATCACCGGATTTCATCGTTGCAATGACCATCTCGTTCACCGGAATTCTAAAACAAAGCTCGACATCATTTTTGTTTTAATCAAAAATCAGATTAAAACTGTAAAAGAAGAAGGGCAAAATTGTATTTTCGTCATATGAGAAATGCTCAAATACGCAAGTACCGGTGAACTGTCCTGATCTCGTAATTATTGTTGAAGATAATGCCAATCCGGTAATTTATTCCAAAAAGATAAGGACAGAATATTATATAATACAGAAATTCATCATCCACAGCAATTGGATATTCATTCACATATTTACAAAGCTGAGTCCACTATCTATGTGATCATGGGTTTAAATTTAATAACAATTGCTACAAGGTATCAATCTACGACTTATTTACAATGTCTTGATTGTCATTTGTTCACTTTCTTTGACGACCACACAGAATTAAAGAACCCTTCTTCTTCCTGCACATCTGAATCTCCCAACCTCCATTTCAAGCAAGTATTCTTGTTTGAGACTCAAATCAACCAACTCCTATAGACTAGAGATTCCGGTTTTAAATATACTTTTTGTTTTGATTACGTCCGTGGAAGGAACTGTCCGCGACAGGAATATGTTACCCTTCGAATCTTTCCTGCTGTAATTCTCCATCTCATGGCTCATCACTATGTTGCATTGTCTCCAAGTCTCACCCATTAACTCCACTCCAAAGTACGTTAAATGGTCGGATATGCTACTTCCCATTACCGATCTGAAACAACAAGAGCCAATCATAATACTGGATACTTCTAAAAATTGTTCTGTATCCAAGTGAAAATATGAGACATAAGGGGTGTTGTAACAATTCCTGAACAATAGACGATGGCTCAGGTGAAACGTGGTAGTAAATAATGATCTTATGTTTCTATTAGCAAGTTTGTTCTCGCTAGTGTAGGTCAATTGCTGAGAGTATTAATATCATCAAGTTGTTTCAGAGGGATCAAGTAGAAAACCAAAAGAGAGTTAGTTACCTGCTGCACGTAGGATCTTCACCGGTGTTGTCACAAACTTTCTCTACACCACGAATAACAATATTCAAAACACTGAGTTCTGTCACCCACACCTGCAATCCAAAAGATACATTACCAAATGTTGCATGAAAAATCTAAAAACAGTTACTGTGATGAACATCAAGTGATTAGAGGACGCTATAAAAATAATGAAAATAAAAACAGAAAAAGACGTTACCTCTGTTGGGAAGTGGTGGTATGTTTTTTGAGGGAAAAGATGATAGTAAGGAGGCAGATGAGGAACTATATCATGGTCATGTATGATCCTGAAGGTATTAGGCACAAGCAAATTGTAATAAGATGCAAAAGCAGCATTCCCAACACGGGGTTGCCCAAATGTCATAACCTGTACGTTTTCTTCATCTTCATTTACCTGCGATTTACATCCCAATTGACATCACTAACAACTTTAAAGAACAAAACATAAGAAAAGAAAAAAAAACTAGTTCAATCCAAGGATGTTTACAACTAGGTCTAGCGCACAAAAGGAAGCCATGGCTCCTCCCATTGAATGACCAGTCACCATGATGTTGAGGTTTGCCCCATATGATTTCTTCGCTCGTTTTACTGCATCCAAAACCGCAGGCCGTACAGTTGTATTGTGATAAGCACTATAAAATCCATGGTGCACCTGCCAATGTAGATAACTATTACAAATTCCACCGTACTACATGACCAACTCAATGATTAAAAAGCTTGCGGCTTAAGTGTACCATTGCATCTGGCATATCAGGGTAATTCAAATCGAGCTGTTTCCAGAACAAGTCTGAGACCCAATTTTGTATGCTGCACAAGTTTTTGGATGATCAAAAATCAACCAAATTTAGACATAGGTGTAGCTTTTAGATTACATGATTAGAATAACACCTGTGTTCTTGAGTTCCCCGAAATGCAATGATGATAGCATTTAAATCCTTAGCCACCCCAACATATGCCTGTTGTTACAAGTTACATATACTGATATCAATAATTGTTAAATGAAAAAACATCATGACAAGATGTAGCTTATGATATCAGGGCAGACCTGTAAGCAGTGCTCAACGTCAACTATTATCTCTATTACCTCAAAACCCTGCAACATCCTTAAAGACGTTAGAATACCCAATTAAAGCTATTAGCTTTATACATACTGTGGCTTCAAACGGTGATCTGCTTCAGCAAATGTTATACCTTTGTCAAACCGTTGCATCTTTCGCACGTCCAAGTGAAGAGTTCTGACAAATCAGACATATAAACCTGCATACATATATAAATCCATTTGGTGCACTATATCAGCATAAGCTCTCTTCTCTAGTAATGGTAATTAAATGAAAATAAGAGGACAAGTGCTACAATTTCCTTCATATCTTGCAGAGATAAAATGAAATGCATACTGTAGAAATCTGCCATTAACTTACTGCAGAAGTATACTCCACAAGTGTTATGGCAAGCGTGTGGTTGTAAACAGGTCGATCATCATCACTCTTCAACTTGAGAACTGCAATAAAAAGAAAAAAAGTCCCCATAAATTCACTAAGTTCTGTCTTGATTCATTGTAGCTGAGGCTACATAAATAAATCAAAACTATCCCAGATTGAGAATCCAGGTCACATTGTTCAGTAGCAAGAGTAAATTTGTCATCTTTCCCAATCACTATCATCATTCTACAGAAATTTCAAATTTTTTTGATTAGGCTCAAAGAGACTCAGAGGGAGGGAGAAGTTCCATTATCACCTCTACCACATGAAGATGAAAAAAGACAAGCAAAAACTGCCAGCAAGAAGAACCATCTCTTTTGTCCCATATTCTGCAAAAGGACAATTACACACAACCACATCATCTTCTGTATCATCAACCAAATTGCAAAATTGAGCTAAGACAAAGCAGAATCCAGAAGCAAATTGGCCAAAATCACAGTTTAGCTTATAATACGAGACTCACACAAGCCCAAACTAACGAGGATTAGAGCAAAAGCCACAGGGGATTTCAGCAACCAATTTAAGTCCAGAAAAAAAAAGACAGACCTTTGACAAAACAGAGGATCAAAGCAATCGAACCAAATCCGTGAAGAACACACAAATAGAAATCTCGGAAAGTGATCGGAGAAAATTACCCGTTGAAAAAAAACTATGTGGAATGCGAAAAGAAACGTCGATGAAATACGAATAAATCTATTCCAGTTTCATTTTTTTATACGCAAAGGCTGATGAAGGAAGGATACGTGTTGGCTCTTAGGAAGGGGTATTATTGGAACTGAGAGTGAGAGATGAGATCTGATTTAGTAACTACGAGACGAAAGGAAAGGAACGACAACCGAGTCGCAGAAAGATGCGGTTCCCGATCAACAACGGAGATTCGATATTCTGCGAAAGACTCTTTACCGCCTAGAGGTTTCCAATTTTTTCTTATCTTAGTTACATTAAAAACACCTGTACAAAAATAAATTAATACTCGACAAGTTAAGAAGAATAAAACACCATAAAATTAGTATAATCTTGTTCTTGTCATGAATCATTGCAAAAATTCATGTTCTGTCTAAACTCTCAAGTGTGTGTCAACGTTTGGTGGAGAAAAAACATCTGTATTTTATTTTATTTGATTTTTAATTGATTACATGTGTTTAGTTTTTCAATAAGACATGTCCATTATATTGCAAAATAATTTGGGAATTATGAACTAAAATGATACTACTATAAATTGACACAAGAAATTGATGGATACGAATTTAAAGATTCGAAACTATTCTGCTACTGTACAATGTCATTATTCATACACATACTTACATACAGTATATCGTTGAATCCAATATCTATATGATCATGGATTTAAATTAATAAAGATTTAACATGCTACATGCGACCAACCTATAGGATTTATTTACAAAATCATTTGTTCACCTTCTTTTACGAACACAAAGAATCAAAGAACCCTTCTTCTTCTTCCAACACAACACTGAACCTCTCAAACATCCCATTCCAGCAAGCTTTCTCTTGTTCAAGACTCCAATCAACCAACACCTATGGGCTAGAGATTCCGGTTTTCGATTGCGTCCTTGGAAGGAACTGTCCGCGACAGGAATATGTTACCCTTTGAATCTTTCCTGCTGTAACGCTCTACCTCCTGGTTCATCACTATGCTGCATTGTCTCCAACTCTCACACATCAACTCTACCCCAAAGTACCTTAAATGGTCTGAAATGCTAGTTCCCCTCACCGATCTGAGACAACAATAGCCAAGAGAATTATACTGGATTCATGTAAAAAATGTCTGCTACCTTAATCTAAAACAAGAAACAAAAGGTGTATTCTAATGATTTATCACGTCATTTCTCTGTTGAAATCTGGTAGTTAATAATGAACCTAAATTTTTGATTTGCAGGTCTGTTCTTGCTACTGTAGGTGTATAGCGGAGAGGAATTATATCAGTAAGTTGTTTCAGAGGGATTGATAGTTACCTGCTGCAAGTAGGATCTTCACCGGTGTTGTCACAAACTTTCTCCAAACCAAAAAGAACAAAGTTCGAAAAACTGAATTCTTTAACCCACACCTGCAACCCAAAACACACCATTACAGCTTTCTTTATTTCTTTTCCATAAAGTTAATAAACAGAGCGGAGAAATTATGTCCGACATTGGAAAAATCATTGAGTATTCCAGATTTTTGCATAAAATAAGTTAAATTAAAACTGTTATTCTGATAAACATCCAGTGCACTGAGAAAGCGATGCTACCTCTGTTGGGAAGTGGTGGTATGTTTTTTGAGGGAAATGGTAATAGTAAGGAGGCAGATGGGGAACCATATCACGGTCATGCGTGATTCTGAAGGTATTAGGCACAAGCAAACTGTAATAAGAAGCAAAAGCGGCATTCCCAACACGAGGTTGCCCAAATGTCATAACCTGTACGTTTTCTTCTCCTTCATTTACCTGCGATTCATATCCCAATATAAGTCATTAACTACTTCAAAGGACATAACAATAAGATATAAAAAAATATTTCAATTCAAGGATGATTACGACTAAGTCTAGCCCACAAAAGGAAGCCATGGCTCCTCCCATTGAATGACCAGTGACAATTATGTTGATGTTCGCCCCATAGACTTGTTTCGCTCGTTTTATTGCATCCAAAACTGCAGGACGTACAGTTGTATTGTGATAAGCACTATAAAATCCATGGTGCACCTGCCAATGTAGACAACTATTAGAAATTCCACCTTACTATATGACCAACTCAATGATTAAAAAGCTTGCTGTTAAAGTGTACCATTGCATCTGGCATATCAGGGTAATTCAGATCGAGCTGTTTCCAGAACAAGTCTGAGACCCAATTTTGTATGCTGCACAAGTTTTGGATGGATTAAGCATTAAAACCAAGTTTATGTGAAGGTGTAGGCGTGTAGCTTTTAGGTTACAATGAGGAGAATAATACCTGTGTTCTTGAGTTCCCCGAAATGCAATAATGATAGCATTCAAATCCTCAGCCACCCCAACATACGCCTGTTGTTACAAGTTACATGTACTGATATTAATAATTGTTCAATGAAGAAACATAATGACCAGCTGTAGCCTATGATATCAGGGCAGACCTGTAAGCAGTGTTCAACGTCAAATATGATCTCTATTACTTCGAAATCCTGCACCATCCTAACGAACGTTAGAACTCAATAAATGGAGCTATAATACATATTGTGGCTTCAAAGTTCCAACAGTGATCTGCTTCAACATATGTTATACCTTTGTAAAACCATTGCATCTTTCGCAAGTCCAAGTGAAGAGTTTTGTCAAATCAGACTCATAAACCTGTATACATATTACAAACTTGATTCACCCATCTGATGTACTTTATCAGCATTATCTCTCTTGTTTAGTAGTGCAAATAATGATAAATAAATGAGAATATGAAGAGGGCAAAGGTTACACATCTAGTAATTCCATTGATACAGGACTTTTTGCTACTAAACTAATCTGCCACTAACTTACCGCAGAAGCATACTCCACAAGTGTAATGGCAAGCGTATGGTTGTAAACAGGTCGATCATCATCGCTCTTCAACTTGAGAACTGCAATTAGAAGAAAGAAGTCACCATAAATCCACTTGCTTCAGTTTAACTCACTTGTAGCCTCACAACTAATATACCAAGTACACGAAATTGTTGGTTTCTTTGCATCAAATAAAGTTCACATTTTATTGTAGCCAGATTAAATTTTCTATCTTCCCAACCACTATATCATTACACAGAAGTTTCAAATCTTAATTAAGCTCAGAGAGAGACTCAGGAGAATCAAAAACTGAAGTTCCAATAAAGGAAACAGACACGGAATCATAAATAGAAGCTGCATTACCACCTCTACCACATGAAAAGGAAAGGAGACAAGCAAAAATTGCCAGCAACAAGAACCATCTCTTTTGTCCCATGTTCTGCAAGAAGACAATAGACACAACCACATCATCTTCTGTTCATCAACCAATGTTAAGGGTCAAATTGAGCTAAAACAAAGCAGAATTCGGAAGCAAATTAGCCAAAATTATAGTTTACCTTATAAAACGAGACTCACGAAACCCAAACAAACGAGGATTAGGACAAAACCCGAAAGAGATTTCAGCAACCAAAAGAAGAAAACTGGGGATCCAATTGAACGTCTTTTACAACGAGTTGGAAATTTCCGGCGATGATCGGAGATTATTCCCGGCAAGAAAATTATACGGCGACTTATATATATATATTATTATATAGAAGCCGTGATCTGCGAACGAGAAGGTGATAGAAGAAACGGCGATTAAAATACGAATATTCTGTTTTTTTTCTTAACTTCCACTTTCATCCTTTATACGCAAAGGTGCATGAGACAAGCGTGTGGGCTCTTTCTAAGGGTATTATGGGAATTTCAGTTGTGTAGCGTGTCGCAAATTCGAGTGCTGAGGTGTCAGTTACGTGATTCGGCAGGATAAATGGATAAGGCGGTTATAAAGAAGAGAACGAGAAGTTGACCTTTTGACTTTCTACTTTCTTCTAAGTTTTACTTATGAGCCCACGGGCCTTTAAAGCCCATTAATGCAAACCAAAGTCCAAGGCGGGAATTTCCGAAACTCTTATTTCTCAAGTGGCGGGAGATTCTTTATAAGTCAAGCCCATGTGGCACATCTCGTAGCCGTAGATTTGATCTCTCGAAATCAACGGGTGTAAAATCGAAGCCTACGGTCGTTTCAAACGTCGGTTTTGTTGCTTTTAATTTCACTTTTGTTTATTTTCACTAACCAAAGCAAAAAAAAAACTCAGGAACCCTCGATTCGATCTCAGACGAAATCAGGATTCGTAGAGGCGCGTCGATGGCTAGAGCTTCGAAGCGGGAAGTTTCTTCGGACGAGGCTTACTCGTCGGAGGAAGAGGAGCAAGTTAACGATCAGGCCAATGTGGAAGAAGATGATGAAGAGCTCGAGGCCGTCGCTCGCTCTGCGGGTTCTGACGAGGAAGATGTTGCGCCCGACGAAGCACCTGTCTCTGACGACGAGGTTGTCCCCGTAGAAGATGACGCTGAAGAGGTATGTCTTCGCTTCTGTTTTCCACTCTTCGATTTACATTCGCATGTCGGCTGTGATTTCGCGGATTGCTGTATTTGGATTTCTGAATGTAATTGAAGTACTGTTAGGGTTTCCTCTGAGCGTATAATTAATGGTGTTTTTGGGTCGTGTATTCGATATTTGGTGTCTTTTGAGTCTGGTCACAGGGTTTCGTTTCTCTCTGTCTCAAGGTTTTTGCTTAGAAGTATGGGTGGACGCTCATTATGATGGTACATCCATGTGACTCGTGAGGATATTTTGGTCACTTTTTCATAATTTGATGATTATTATGTAGGACGAAGAAGACGAGGAAAAAGCAGAGATCAGCAAACGTGAGAAGGCTAGACTCAAGGAAATGCAGAAGATGAAGAAGCAGAAAATTCAGCAAATTTTAGACTCCCAAAATGCTTCCATAGATGCAGATATGGTAAGCTAGTAAATAACTGAGCTGCTTGTCTTTTAGTGTACAGAGATATTGAAATAACTCAATCGTTCCATTTATTTAGAACAATAAAGGAAAGGGGAGATTGAAGTATCTTCTGCAGCAAACTGAGTTATTTGCACATTTTGCTAAAAGTGACCCGGCTCCGTCCCAGAAGAAGGGGAAAGGAAGGTGTGTTCAGTGCAACTTATCTCAAAACAAATTGTGGTTATTCGTTTGAAGTTTCCAGAAATACAATGAGCGCACAGTCCCAATGTTTAATTTATTGGGTTTCACGTTGTTGTCAGGGGTCGCCATTCTTCCAAACTAACTGAGGAAGAGGAAGATGAAGAGTGTTTAAAAGAAGAAGAGGGTGGTACAGCTGGATCTGGAGGCACACGGTTGCTCACACAGCCCGCTTGTAAGTACCTATGTTTTGCTCCTAATATCTTGATATGGCGTATGTTTGCTCTAGTCCTATTGTGAGTCGAAGTTATTATAGGATTTGACACCTTATGCCCACTTCTCTGATTGGTAGAGTTGTTTGATTATATTCTTCAGTTGCGACCTCACAATTTCTAGGTAGTACTGCATAAATTTTGTAGAATTTAGAGATCTGAGCTTTGTACTCTTCATATTGCAGGTATTCAGGGAAAGTTAAGAGATTACCAATTAGCTGGTTTAAACTGGCTCATTCGGTTGTACGAGAATGGCATAAATGGGATTCTGGCGGATGAAATGGTAAACCACTTCTCATCTTAGCATATAATAAGATTTGTCAGCTCTCTATGTTACCTGATGCTAATCTTTATCGTTTTTGTTCATGGTCTAGGGTCTGGGGAAAACGCTTCAAACCATTTCTTTGTTGGCTTACCTGCATGAGTACAGGGGAATTAATGGCCCTCATATGGTAGTTGCTCCAAAATCAACCCTTGGTAACTGGATGAATGAAATTCGCCGATTTTGTCCTGTCCTGCGTGCTGTGAAATTTCTCGGTAATCCCGAGGAAAGGGTAAGTCATAATGCCTCTGACATTTGAATGGTTGCATTTATATGCACCTAGCAGGATTCTGAGATATCTTTTAAATAATGCAGAGACATATTCGTGAAGAACTGCTAGTTGCAGGGAAATTCGACATTTGTGTTACAAGCTTTGAGATGGCTATCAAAGAGAAGACATCATTGCGCCGTTTTAGCTGGCGATATATAATCATTGATGAAGCTCATCGAATTAAAAATGAGAATTCACTCCTTTCGAAAACCATGAGACTTTTCAGCACCAACTATCGGCTTCTTATCACGGGAACCCCCCTTCAGGTATTTGTCAAATCTTTTGATCTATAATTGTTAAGTTCCTTCAATTTTTCTGTCAGATTGCTTCTGACTATGTTGAAACTACTTTTCTTGCTTGAGTTTGTGGAACCTAGTTTTTTTTTTACTTTGTGTTCTTTAGACATGCTTCTTATTATCTTCTGTACTTGATTTGCTTGAGATAATACTGTAATCATTTGATATGTCTCATATATGTTTCTACTACAGAATAATCTCCATGAATTGTGGGCCCTCCTCAATTTTCTTCTCCCTGAGGTTTTTAGTTCAGCAGAAACTTTTGACGAGTGGTTTCAAATTTCTGGTGAAAACGACCAGCAAGAAGTTGTTCAACAACTTCACAAGGTATGTACTCATACTTATGAATGTTATTCTCTAAGTTCTTATGATAATCATTTACCTCATCTTTTTTTAGGTTCTGCGACCATTTCTTCTTCGGAGGTTAAAATCAGATGTAGAGAAAGGCTTACCTCCGAAAAAGGAGACAATACTCAAAGTTGGCATGTCTCAAATGCAAAAACAGTACTACAAGGCTTTACTGCAGAAGGATCTTGAAGTGGTTAATGGTGGTGGAGAACGCAAACGTCTGTTGAACATAGCAATGCAATTGCGGAAATGCTGCAATCACCCTTATCTCTTCCAGGGTGCGGAGCCTGGTCCCCCATATACCACAGGAGATCACCTTGTAACAAATGCAGGTAAGATTTACATTACAAGTAGATCCTTCAGATATAAGTGGCAATTGGCTTAGTTATTTTCTTTTACATTTTCTTGTTTCTAGGTAAGATGGTTCTCTTAGATAAATTGCTACCTAAGTTGAAGGATCGAGATTCAAGGGTTCTGATATTTTCTCAGGTAGTCATTAACTCATTCTTTGTTTCCTTTTCTCTGAGTTATATTTTTAATGTTTCTTTGTGTTTATTCTAACGATTTTGCTCATCTATATCAGATGACAAGGCTTTTGGATATTCTTGAGGATTATCTAATGTATCGCGGTTACCAGTACTGTCGTATTGATGGAAATACTGGTGGTGACGAACGAGATGCTTCCATAGAAGCCTACAACAAGCCAGGAAGTGAGAAATTTGTTTTCTTGTTATCCACTAGAGCTGGAGGACTTGGTATCAATCTTGCTACTGCAGATGTTGTGATCCTCTATGATAGTGACTGGTAAGGCTCTTTTTGTGTCTATTGTAGTATATGAGTGTGTTCTTTTATGCCTACTGAGATGGGTGGATTATGGCAGGAACCCTCAAGTTGACTTGCAAGCTCAGGATCGTGCACATAGGATTGGTCAAAAAAAAGAAGTTCAAGTTTTCCGGTTTTGCACCGAGGTTACTCTTGTACCAATGTGTAGAAAGAATGACATTGAGAACTTGAACTAATTCTGCATTGGTCTTATGCAGAATGCTATTGAGGCGAAAGTCATTGAGAGGGCTTACAAGAAGTTGGCACTTGATGCTCTGGTTATTCAGCAAGGGCGATTGGCAGAACAGAAAAGTAAGTGCTTTTGACTGAGGTTGTTAAATGCATTGGATTTTCTCTTATATATATAATGATTTATTTTCTTTGCTTTCCAGCTGTTAATAAGGATGAGTTGCTTCAAATGGTGAGATATGGTGCTGAAATGGTGTTTAGTTCTAAAGATAGCACAATTACGGATGAGGATATTGACAGAATCATTGCCAAAGGAGAAGAGGCAACGGCTGAACTTGATGCCAAGATGAAGAAATTCACTGAAGATGCAATACAGTTTAAAATGGATGACAGTAAGCGTGCCATTTATCTCTTTTTCCAATGGTAACTCCCTTGCATGGGTAATGGGATGTCCAAATAAGATATTTTTTGGTTTGTTGCAGGTGCTGACTTTTATGATTTTGATGATGACAATAAGGTACTCTTGGATAATTAATTGAATGGTTGAAGGAAATGTTTAACGCATACTGTGGTTATACAGTTTTTCGAATATCGGATTGCTGATTTCTTTTTTAATTTTGTTTGGTAGGATGAGAGCAAGGTGGATTTTAAAAAGATTGTGAGTGAAAATTGGAATGATCCACCAAAAAGAGAGAGAAAGCGCAAGTAAATATTACTTCTACTTTTTTCGTTACGTGGTCTATCCTGTCTTCCTAAACAAAATCTAACTTTAACAATTTACTTCTCTACCCACCCTTTAGCTACTCTGAAACTGAATACTTCAAGCAAACACTGCGACAAGGTGCTCCAGCTAAACCTAAAGAGCCTAGAATTCCACGCATGCCCCAATTGTGAGTACCATAATTGTCTCCACTCTGCATTTAGCCTTTTCCCTGTCTTATGTATAGTACATTTATCATAAAAATCTAATTTCTTGTCCATCCCGCAGGCATGATTTTCAGTTCTTTAACATTCAGAGGTTGACTGAGCTGTACAAAAAAGAAGTGCGCTTCCTTATGGTGGGAATAACAAGTTTATCAACTTGTTATGTAATTTATGCAACTT